AAAAACACTTTTTATTTAAAAGACATTCCAGAGGAAGAAATACATGCATGTCTTTTAAAAATAAGCCATCTGGAATACATCCTGAAAAGAATTTCAGAGCAAAAACAGACATCTATAAAGGAATTTTTAAAAAGATCTTCATGATTCTTTTTAAATATTATTTTTAAATTTTCTTTTTATTTTCCATATTTATTTCCTTTCAACTGAAATATTCTTCAATTAGAATAAAATATTATTTGTAATTATTTATGTTTCGAAAATATGTATTATTGCCATTTTGTCCCCGATACTAAAAGTTAATCATCAAAATAAAAGAATAAATACAAAAAAAGTACACATACAATGGTTTCAATTAATATCATTTATTTATATTACAAAGCTATTTTAAAATCATAATATTTTAGTGAGTTAGATGATTAGCTAATCATCTGAATAACTTTAATTCAACACTTCCTTTAATTCAACCGAAAGCTCTGATCCCTTGGGGTGTTGAATTAAAGAGGTTTGACTGTAATATTAAACCTTTTATTTTTAAAATAACTATTTATATAATGTGAAAACAAAATAGTACAAAAGTGAAATTGTCCTGGGATAAGTGGATATACGTATTAAAGAAAAAAGCAAAAAAAAAGAGCTTCTCCTGATTGTGCAACTAAAAGTTGCTGATATGTTCGAATACTAATCGTTTATTATTATTTTTTTCCATTTTTCTTTATTTTTCAATCTTTTCTACCAAGACAGAGACTGAGAAAAGTCAAACATCTAACAGTAGGAGATGCTGATAAAGCACAATTTGGATTATAGCTACAAGGTAATGAGACCAATTCCAAATAATTTAATAGTGTGTGATGTTTCGGTAACACCATTGTTACCATCATCAGACAAAAGAGTAAAATGAGTTTAAAAGTAAGATCTTATTCTTTTGTCTGATGATGGTAACAATGCTGTTACCGAAACGTCACACGCTATTAAATTATTAGGTCTTATTTTGTTGTATCAGTAGAAGATGCTGTATTACTTGATTGACAACATTTCATTGAGTAGACCACTCACAGATTATTCTGTGAAGCTCTGTTTAAGTGTTTATTTAGGTAATGCTGGTGTATGTATGTGTTCCTACCACTCCATTAATACAAGTTAAGTTGGCTCAGGAGAACAAAACAATCTTTCTCATCTTATCACTAATCATCAGTCAGGTTATCTTCCCTACCTTTACCCCATATCAATGTCTGCACTGAGACAATGAAGAGAATTGTAGGGGCATTGGTTATCCCTGTGGTGATCACTTATGGATGTGAGAGCTAGACTCAAACTCTGCCTTTGCCCAGCCCAAGCCCGGATGAAAAAGGAGGAGGGGGGAGCAGTAACAAGCTCACTAAAAAACCTGGGCTCAGCTGGCTTGGCTGATAGTACCCTGTAAGGGCTCCTAATCCAGGGATACAGGATGAGCAGCGTTTGTACTCCATGTTAGGAGCGGCTGCACATGGCATCTGTTCCTCATGTCAGAGGCGGCCATTTCTTTTGGAGCAAAACGGCCTGCCACTGAGTAGTGTTCCCAGTCTTAATGACAAAGACAGACGCATTCTACTTCACCCAATCATAATGGTTGTCAACAGACACCATCAAAAGTCTCAAGCTTTACACCCTAATATGATTGAGTGGAGATAAGAAAGAAGAAGAAGAGCAGGACTCTCAGAAAAAAAAAAGGAAAGAAAAAGAATTTGAAATGTGGACACATGGACAGATAAAAAGGTTACTTGTTTCAATCTCAAATAAAAGTAATCCTATTAGATCCCTAGAATCCTAAATATGTAAACAAAGACTTGGCCTACTTCTTAGAGCTCTAAGAAACTGTCTGGTAGAATAAAATTGCTGGGAGGGTTAACCACTGATGAGCAAATCTTCCCAATATTTTTCATCGTAGTAATAACAGTAGAGAAGTTTGTTTAATCTGTAAAAGAAACATTTATGCATAAATGTTTTCTATTTCATATGCAGTTAAACCTGTCTATAGCGCCCAATTTTAAATACGCAGTACAATACAATTTACATTAAAAGTGACCTATCTATAGCACCCTATTTTGGTGAGTCCCAAGAGGGGGGGCGCTATAGACAAGTTTAACTGTAGATGGCACACTATTGCCTTATAAAGGCTATATATGTTGAATATCCTAAATAAAGAGCGCATGATTGCATTTGCATAAAGAAAGAATAGTCTTAGGTTTATTGTAACCAATTTTATTCAGCCTGTCTTGCAACTTGATATTTGTTTGGAACTTAATGACACTAAATGAGTCCAAGTCAAAGATTATGGTGTTCCGTAATGGAGGTAAACCCTCAAATAAGGATAGATGGTTCTGGAATGATAAACCCATAGCAATAACTTCAAGATATACATACTTGGGATTCCCTCTGACACCAACAATAACAACTACTCACCCGGCAAATTACTTTAAAGGAAAAGCACTTACAGCAATTAACGCCACACACCCAATATTAATAAAAATCAAAAGCAAAGTCAATAAATTTATCAATCAAACTCTTTGATACAATAGTGAGAGCTGTCCTGATGTATGCCGCTCCATTATGGGCAACAGAGCATAAAGACTTACTGGACAATATACAAGACATATTTATCCGTAGGTTCCTGAATCTGCCCAGATACACTCCAGGTTACCTAATCAGATTAGAAACCGGTCGTATCTCATTGAGTGTAACAGCCTTAAAATTAACCCTGAAGTATTGGCTGCGGGTGTTGAATATGAGCAGTGACAGATTGCCACGTATATGTTTTAATAGAACACGGGAACTCTCTAATGCTTCGGGCACACCCATCGGTTTCATTAAAAAGCTCACTAATCTGCTTAACGATAATGGATCCCCTGCACTTGTTTCCTGTGATGACCCTGAAACGCTGAGGAGCGCGATTACAGGGCTCTTAAAAACAGCGGCAGACCAATCTATACAAAACGACCTTACAAGAATGGATAAATCTAAGCTATACTCTCACTACAAAGACATTCACATATCTTTCATGACGGAGGGATACCTTTTAGGGGATTTTCCTTTCCCGGTTGTAAGACTACTCGCACAAGTTAGAATACTTTCAAGTTTTTTTAGAGAAAACCACACCAAGATGCTCTGCGGTGAGGACCCGACTTGTACCTTCTGTAATTCAAAACTACAAAATGAAATCACTCACTATATTTTTGATTGCTCTGCTCTGAAAGAAGAAAGAAGAACCCTTATGCTCAAAACTGGGCAACTCTGTGCTTCACTTCCATCAATAATTGACAATATGACCCAGAATAAGTATATTGCTACGGCGTTTTATGGTTTCCACAAGTCCATATCTCAGAAGAAGGCCAAGTGATACTCACTCCTCACTTTCTTACTGCTACTCTTTTTGTGTTGATTTCTTGCTTCCCTCTTTCTTATTATTATTATTTTTTTTTTCCTTTTCTTGTTTTTTTTTTTTTTTTCTTTCTCTTTTTACTCTGTATATATCGCTATTTCCGTTGTCTCACTGCTTTGTTCTTATGCATACCTCTGGTGAATCCTGTATAGGGTCAGTGACCC